GATTAAATGATGTTATAACATGCTTTCAGTGAACAATGAAATTATATTTGATAATTTCACAGTGAACTTATTAAAGAAAATTTTCTCAGAAGCCGGACTAAAACTGAATGCGGCTTTCATGGACTTAAAGAATGGATGTTAAATAAGTTGATCAAAATATCATCAGAAATCACTATGTTTTCAGTAACATGTGCTTGAAACACACAAATATCCGCACATATCATTTTTTCTAAAAAATAAATAAATAAATCTTTCAGACTTATTTTGATCAAGAACAAAGTGATGTAATGATTTGATGACATCATGAATGATAGTATTTTTTTATCATTAAAAAAGTTAAGATAACTTAAAGCCAATGAAAAGAAAGAAATAAAAAGAAAGAAATGTTTGTTGTATATGTAAGATTAAATTACACATGTATTTCCCTTGTCAACTCCAGCTCTTATATTTGCAAAATATTGCATCTGATAGACATAATATATATTTTGATCTTACATGTAAAACAAACAAATATCCTCTTAGAACTAAAGTATCTATCAAAGACACAATATATAATGCTTAAGCAGTACTTTTAGAAGGTAAATGAGCGACAAGAAGAAAAAAGGAAACATATTTGTAATACTCTGTGTATAAAATATCTTTTAGTAGTTTCGGGCCAGTTTTTTACTATTTAACCTATGCAAAACGTTATTATTCTTCTGACCATTTATAAAACAGAAACAGTATAATCAATTAAACTAAAAGTAGGCATGATCATTAACATGCATTATCGCATTTTCTGACCATTTTAGAATAATAACTTCGATTCCATACGGATATAAATGTCCTAATGATTTTCAAGATCGACGTTGTCGCAAGAGGGACTTCTTAAAATAACCAGAGCTCTTCCATGTTTTGTTTTTTTGTATTCATAGCAATCTTGGCCACAAAGCTTTTAAGGCATCTTTTGCTGTTTTTACAATCTTATACATTTTACCTTCAAATAACTCATACTTTTCTATGATCTTCTTATACATTTCTATGTCAGGCGATGATCTTTTGACATACGCCAATTACTCATGCGCAAGAAAATACTATATCCCATCAATCTTAATAGCAACGGACCGTTTGTGAAAAGGTAAAAAGTCTCTGACTGTTTGGGATATCATTTTACTGGCTGAATAGCCAGCCATTATACATACAAGTCAAAATTAGAGAGAAATATGTACATTATTTAATCATATTATTTACTAGTACTTGTTTTGACAAAACTGCTAGACCACATTTAGCCAAAAGTAAACATCAAAATTACTGATTTACTTACTTAGACATTAATGAGAATTTAAATCAGAAACAAGGCAGATTATTACGGAATGTATGAAAAGTATATGTAATTGGTAAATAAACGCATTAGTGTGCTTTTTTGGAGGGGTGTTAGAAGGGGGCTTATTGTTTTGCTTTTTTTTCAAAATAAAATGAATATTACAAGTGTCTTCAATTAGGATAATAAGTATTTAAAAGGAAATTAAATAATAATACTATAGATGATGTCCATGTTTTCACGTTATTCAAAATATGAGAACTTTACAACTTTAATAGATATTATTTAAAATGCAAAATTATGATGTTTATTTTACACACATATAAAATCGATGATAATTTATTTAACAATGTTAGGAACATATTGTTAATTAAATATGTAATCAAAATGGAACTAAAATACTAAGCGCTATATATATTTCATGACAGTGTTGCATACAAAAAGAACTGAAGAAGATTTATCTAAAAGCAAAAAACTATATCAGTAGGGTTAGGGTAAGACTATCATTTCTCTCATTCTGTTGAAGGTCGTCTGTCAGGTAAACACTTACAGGTTATAAACATTTCATGATAAATCTATTCCAGTTCAAGAGCTAAATTCATGAATAGCTTACAGGATGTGTGCAAAAGAAAATGGCACAAATTATTAAAAAGTTCAGAGGGAATTCATTTAGAATTTTCTACTGCTCGTCACACATTCTTCGACACATCAAAAATCCTCAAAATCAAAATTAGAGGGCCATGACGGCACTGAAGTCGCTGACCTGTATGTAGGCCCCTGGGTCAGCACATTTAAACCAAGGGCTTTATTTGGACAAACATGGTAGACACTCATTAGAAGATGTTTCATTATAAATATCTAACCTCTAGCTCTTTGGGTTTTTTATAAGATTTTTTTAACGTTTTTACTATATACAGTGAAAGTTGAGAAAACCGGACGGCTTTCGGACTGAGGGTTTTGTCCGGTTTTCTCAGCGGTCCGGTATTCTCAATGTCCCCTTCAGCTGTTCAGGATCTTATATTATAACCGAGCAATGACTTACTAAAGATGCTGTATATTTGCATTTCAAGATCATGTGTACCTATATTGCTAAATAAAGAAATGATAAGAATACAAAAAAAAATATGTTTTAATTGTTTTTGTCCCATTATTGCATATAAAGACATAAAAGTTTGGATATAAATGAACAGCAGTGACCTCATAACGATCCGCATATGTTTACATTTGGGTAATGGGTAATGATTTAACGAATATAGTTTACTTTATTTGTTTATAATAATAACATATTGGTCAGATTTTTAAAGTAGGTTTCGGCAAAGTTTCACTGTTTTTAATTAATCTAACTTTGTCACATGTAGACATCTCTCGTCGAATTACTTTCGGCCATGGAATAGAACTTAGCGCCGATAAATTTCGATTCCGTTGCGAAACACAATAGAAAAATACTCTATTTTTTATTCATACTGATTGTAACTGATCAATGTCTCGTGCATTTGGCATTTATATAAAACGGTAACATCTATACCTTACAATAAATCAAACTGTGAAAAGAGACAGTATAAACAAATCAGACAATAATTGTTCCGTTACCGCTCACTTAGCGTATTAGACACAACCAATTGATAAGTACACAAGGTTTTTCACACATTCGGCGTTCGGTATTGTCAGGGTAATTGTCTATATAATTGACTTTGTAGTCCCCAATCAACCGTCCGGTATTCGGTTTTTACAGATTCCGGTATTGTCAATGTTTAATACAATAGTTTAAAGAAGGGAAAATTTGGGACTGAATTATTCGTCCGGTATTTAGAGAGTTCCGATTTTCTCAGCGTCCGGTTTTCTCAAATTACTCTGTACATATAGGGAAAAACAATGACCCCCCTAAGGCGGAGCCAGTTTTTACCCCAGGGCTTTTATTTGAACAAACTTGGTAGACACCCACAAGAAGATGTTTCATGCTTAATATCAAAGTTGTAGCTATTTTGGTTTTCTTGAAAGCAGATTTTGTAAGTTTTTACTATCTACAAAGAAGGAAAATCAATGACCCCGGGGTGGGGCCAATTTTAACCCCATTTAAAAAACTTGGTAGACACTGACTAGATGATATTTCATGCCAAATATTTAACTTCTAGCTGTTACGGTGTTCTAAAAGAAGATATTTAAAGTTGTTTTTTTCGGTTGGCATGGCAACCAGAGTTCTACACTTCTGCGACAAGGGATTAGCCAGCCTGATTTTTACGGGGATGTTGTTTACAAACTTCGTAAGATCTCGGGTCATTGTAATTTTTTTGTTGTCTTTACTAAAATTATTAAACGTTTTATTTAAAAGGGTTATGACCCTACTATTTTAAGACATACCGCATGCTTAGTGTTCAACACATTTACAGTTGGACGCTACGCTTTCCTCTTTTGATTACATCTGACGGACCAAGTGGGAAACTCGATGATGGACAGTTCTTAAAGCCCTTTGGGACTGAATTGCCTTAATGTGCGTCTTCTGTCTTGCTTCGTCGGGCCCTTGTAGGTGATCTTCTTGTTGCTTTGTCTTCCTTTAAGACATTGAGTATTTTTGTTATGGTCATTTGGTTTCTTTTGTATGTTTTTACATGAGCATTTCGAGGTTTTTCTTATTTCACCTTTTGTAACCATGACAACTGTTAGAATTATTTATTCTTATGTATGACTTTAGTGGTTGGCCTGCTCGTGCTCTGCTTGTGCCCTGTCCTGTTTTTGTTTGGGGTCCTCCTGGGCTCCTTGCCGCTGGCTCTTGATACTGGGTCGTAGGGGGGTTGCGTTCATTGAACGCCGCCTTTCCTGGTTGATCTTGTTTATCATGTTTTCTGCTTAGAATTAAATTCTTTGAACAATTTTTAAAGTTGACTACCAAAGGAACATTCCTGTGAAGTTTGAATGAAATTGGCTAAGCTGTTTATGAGGACATGCCGTTCAAATTAAAATTTTACGGACGGACGGACGCCGGACGAATAGCGATCACAAAAGCTCACCATATCATTTTGTGACAGGTGAGCTAAAAAAGAAAGAAAAAGATTGCATATGTGAATAAAATGCTATGCAAGCGTAGGTATTTAGGTATTTACTGTCTTGCATAAGTATGCACAGTACTTCCATAATACCTTTGCAAACGTTTGATAAAAGTTTTTGTACAGACATTCCGAACATCCCTTGTTATATTTGTGGGGACACAAACAATTGGGCATAGTAGTGATTTAGACAAACAACGAGTATTTTGAAATTTGATGTCCGTGGAAAGCGGGAATTTTAAAGAAAAAGCAAAATTGCCGACGATAACTCACGAAAGTTCGACACGTGCATTTATATTGAAAATTTACTTAATATTATCTGAATAAATCCTATATGCTAGAATGTATGCTGCCATATTTGTAATTGTACAGTACATTTTGCCAAGGGGATTGTTGATCTTATGGTTTGATATTAATAAAAGTTGTTTAACTCGTTAAACATTATCAAAATCTGATTTTGATCCCTTATAAGCATTTAACACAGCTAGACTAAAAAGAAATTGCAGACTTGGTTTGATCGCGCCTGACAAAGATTACACCCTTCTTAGAGATCACATGGTATCAAGTTCGAGGATATTATGAATAGAATCCAGGTTTATCCGACTGCTCGGAGAACCATCATTTGGACTTGTCTGATATATATTTAAATGCAATCTTACTTTTTTTCATCGGGCGATAACGTATCCATTCAAAACCCCTTTGAAAAAGATTTCCCTTCCTTCTGTTTTCCTGCATTCTGTCATCTGAAAAAAACGGTTAAACAAAATTTTATTTAACATTGTAAAGTGCTTTTGCACATCTTATTGTTATAAGTCTTCCATATATTTCAATCTATGATAATGAAACTTTTGAAGTCGATGATCGTCATTTGATATTTAAATATACATAATTGATTAAACTTTAATTTAAAGACCATCGCTATCTTGTAATAAGAAATATAATATTTAAGTGCGCTGTCAGTGGTTATAACAGCAATTTATCATGTAAGAAAAGTTTGCAGACATTCATCCAAATTCTGTTATTAAAATCCGCTATTCATTTGTAAGTATTTAAAAGCTTTTTAAATTGACGTTTATGTTAAAGGGAAATTTGTTTGCTTTCATTTATTTAACTGTTCAAATAAAACCGGGTCATATTGTTGATTTCCTCCTGATGTGCGGGGGGAGGGGTATTGGCGTTATGTTTTGTCCGAAACACGATTCTTTTCTACATGCAAAGAGGGATTGTAGTATTACTTAGTGCTGGCAGCATACTTAAAGTATTGATATACAAGGCCAAAATCAATGTCCTTGCATGTTAAAGTCTAAGTAAATATTAACAAAAGCATGCACAAAATATATAGATATTAGAGCATATGTGAGTGAGTGATTGTTTGTTTGTTTGTTTCATTTTACGCCTTTTCCCAACAGTATTTCAGTCATATAGGCGGGTAGTTTCCTAACCATCGTTCCTGGAGAGTTACACCAGTACTAGACTACCTTCCTCCGTGCTAAACTACCAAAGCATCTCCCGGGGATCGGTGAGTGAGTGAGTGAGTGAGTGAGTGTAAATTAAGTATAAAATTAAAGCCTACAAGAAGGATAATAAATGCAAATAATAATTTTATAAACTCTACTTTGTCAATGGTAGGTTTGTTATTACGCCATATTCAAACACACATCGGTAGATTTTATTTGTACTAATATATATATAATTACATATCAAAATTGAATTAATTTAAATACGAATTATCAAAAAGAAACGTTAAAGTGTTATGTTATTAATTTGCGCTGCAAATACTCGTGTGGACTGTGCCATACATTTAGACAGAATTAGAATGCGTTTTGTAATGTTCATATCTTAAGCATACATCTTCACGTATGCCATAAGCTCACACAATATTTCATCAAATGAAACATTAAATGAAATGTAAATTCTGCAAGTTCTTCTTAAAGTTAATTTTATATAGTTTATTTACTATTTATATCTTACTTGCACTGTTATAAGAAATAAATACTAAACACAACAATTATATATACGACAGATCAGTTAAACGCTTAATTAAAATCTACAAATTTGTTTTCTATTAAGTGCCAATTTAGTGCCAACATCTCTTTACATCTAATGTTTCTATGCACAGTCAGCTTATTTATGAACTGTTGTTAATTAAATTTGAATAACATACTTTATATGAGCGAACATGCTGCAAAAAGAAATATATCTTTTCTATGAATTAAGCTATTTAGCAAGTCTATTGTTGTACACTCCTCTATTTTATCCAGCAAAGTTCAATTCAACTGTTGCCTTTAACTCTAAATCTGCTTCAACGAAGTAATGTTATAATGTTATTGTCATCTTTAGAATGTCATTGACAAACGAAAGTTTGTGTTTTTTGTTTTTTTGTTGTTTTTTTTAATCTGATCATATGTCAAATATGACTATGTCCACGTCATTTTTATAATCAAATCAGCAACTTCAATTAAATTGTTTTGCAAATACCTGAATTAGTAAGAAATTGATATCCCAGTTTATAACAAGATTATAACAACTTTTATATCAACAATGAATAAGCATGCTTACCTTGCATATTTGAAGTCGTTTGTTTTGTTGGTAGTCGTTCTTTTATTTCTTCTATTTCAGTTTTAACCGTCTTCAAGTCTTCAATAGTATCTTTATGACCTGCTTTCAGAAGTTCTATGTCCGCTTCTACTGCTTTATCATGACTTTCCCATTTTTCAATTTCATCCGTTACCCTCTGTTCTGTTTTTGGATCAAGAGGGCTGAATTCAAAGTCAGTTATTGTCTGGTGAAAGTCTTTGATTGGATACACCTTATCGAATCTAAGGAGAATCTGAAAAGCATACAGGCATGATAATTAACTTAACGACATTTGGCTAGTGTTTGCAAAGAAATTAAATATATTTCAATACATTTATCTCGAGTAAAAGTACAATATTTACGCATTTGTTATTTGCAGTCCTGGCCTGGTGATATAATTATAGTTAGTTATCATCTGAATAAATTTTCTACCTTTACTATCTCAAGAGTGAAAAAACAAAAACTGAAAAATACATAAGATGACAAAACTTGATTTAATGAAAAAAAAATATAAAAAATAATACGTTAAGTTACACTGCTTGACTGATAAGTATTGAATTTAGTAAAGAGTGTTTCCTGCTTTTCAACATGACATAACACTACTTGCAGATGTGTGCGGATAGACCTTTTAAATTTCCATTTTGAAACATATAATTATTAATTTTCGGGGTAACTAACAAATATTTGGAAGTAGCACCTTTATAAATGAGTAGATTGCACAATAGTGTAGACTGGTCTGGTTCTATGCTTGTGGCAAAAATGTTGTCTCGGTAACAGATATGTTAAAAGAAATTATTACACACGCATTGTAGACAAACTAAGTTTAAAAGTATTAAAATGAAATATATACCTGTTCGATTTCATCCCACTTTGTAATAAAATCACTATGTTGTATTCCTGTAGTGGTCGATATATGACAAATCTGAAGATATAAAATCGTTCTTGCAAAATGCGTGTTAATCTTTGAAAAATATAATGATTATTCAACTCTATATATAAATACTTATTCATTTTTAAACATCATCTTTGAAATGCTTAAATAATGAAACAAATTGTCTTGATTTCCTCGGGAACTCGTTGAGTATTGACCCGGTTTTCCTTAGGAGGGACATTTTTATCTACACAAATATATAATAAGGCAAACAAAGAATATTTCATACAAGGATTCACTTTATTATTGAAAATAAACATAAACCTTTTTAAAAACTTACTTCGTTCCTGTAATTCTTCAGTCTACAAATGTCTGCCTCGATGGAAGTATCACTTTGTCCTGGTGGAATTTTCCAATTAAACTTTTTATTTAACTTGAAGCATTTCAGGTTTCTCATGAGACAAATGATAAGTGTGATGTCCAAATCTGACGTTGAAACAATGCCACTTGATGGAAACAATAAATCATACTGCACCTGTGTTATTATCCCACGTCCCTTCAAAACATTAATAGTTGTCCTTTCATTAGCAAGACAACCGCTGAGACTGTTAGATTGAGCTGAAAGTTCCTGTTCTACATAATTTCTTAAAACTGTAAGTCCACCATCTATAATTAATATCTGAAGGCGGAACAAAAATACCCGATTATCAACTGCTTGAGCCGAAGATGATGTACCGGGTCGAGCAGAAGCCATGACAAGACATTACAATGAATTGTCCTTGTTTTAATGATGTTACACCTGTAAATACAATGAGGAATTGATGTAAAATAAATGTAGAATTAATGTTGAATATTAATGCAAAATGTAATGTTGAATCATTGTAATACCAATGTAGATTTAACATGGAATCAATATAATATAAATATAAATGGATATAGAAACAATAAAAAATAGTTTAATTCAATGTTTTATTAATTAAGCATTACTTAAAACAACGATCATACACAAGATAATACAAGTATTCTATTTGTATTTCTGACTTATATTAGACTAACTTTTAGACTAATTTGAACAATTACCATACATTTCTGGCGGTATTTAAAATTTGAGAAAGAAGAGAAACATTGTTTGTGGTATCGTACCTCTTCGATATAGATAGAATTATAAAACTTGAAATATTTTTATTGATAAACTAATTACTATTTTTATTAAAGTGATATTATTTCCATCCAGTGGTATATAGTGATATAAAACAAGAATGGAGGGCAACGTTCACAGGATGCAGCCCCCCGACACACACAAGGTGAAAGTCGAAATAAGATTACACTTTGGCATAATTCCTTTCATGCTTATAATCTATTTCGCATAAGCGATACATAACATAAATGAAATTTCTGTGATTATTCATCGGAATGTACCTGTAACATTCAACTGAAAAATAGTTGGTCAATCTTTTTATACTTTAGGCAGATTTATATTTTATCCTTAACATTTTGCATCATTAACTGTTGGTCAATCACCATTATAACAGTCAGTCTTTTAAAATGCCTTTTCATTTGACAATGTGTAATTGATCATAATGTCTTTTTTATAATACCCCTACACATATGAAATAAGTTTTTTGTAGAAATTATTTATGTTTTTGTTTTGGACCTATTCAATTAACAAAGTGACTTTAAGTAGCGAGCGATGGTTGCGTTGACCTTTTTTCCTCTTAAATAAATATGTGCGCTTAAAATATTCTCCCTTTTCCACAGGCTAATGAATGAAAAATATATTGTAGGATATCTAATAAAACTTCAAACAATTCTTTTTACCATAACCTTTTTTGTTTGTTTTTACTATAAACATATTAAGCAATCCAATGACCCCCTTGGCGGGGCCAATTTTGACCACTGTTCTTTTAAACAAAATTAGTAGACACCCACTAGAAGATGTTTTGTGCAACATATGTAAGCTGTAATCTTTACAAGATTGTTTTTTACTATATACATATAAGGAAAATCAATGACTCCCTGGAGCGAGGCCAATTTCGACTCAAGGGCTTTTATTTAAACAAATATGGTAGACACTTGCTATAAAATGATTCATACTAAATATTGTAGCTCTAGCTTTTTCTGTTTTTTACAATAAGTTTTTTGTTTTATTTTTACTATAGACGAGGTATGATCAAAAAATTCGCGGCCCGATATACATCTAGCCACTACTTTGACATTTACACACGATACTTCAAAACCGAATCTTATTGAAGATTTCTGACCGAGTTACACGCGGTTTTACACTGATAAATTAAATAAAACACTTTGATCAGTAGAGGGGTGTGTCATTTAGACCATAGGAGAAAGTTGAAATCAGAGCCGTCATTAAGTAGGAAAGGGATGTCACCCAAGATAATCCATGAAGACTTCATCGATACACTTGATAAGGAGAGACTTGGGATGGGAATCCCTTCCTATAGCCCTGTGAAAAAATGAGCTGCTGAATTTAAGAGGGGCAGGGAGAGCATTTGAGATAAGGAGCGTCCTGGGCAGTCAAAAGAGGCCACCAACGATGAAACTGTTGATTCAGGACTGACTGATATCTATGGCATGTCAAAGGTTTCCGCTAGATGGGTCTCCAGACAGTTGACTGACGACCAGAAACGGACCAGGCTTGACATTTCAAGATATCTTTTGTCTCGCTACGAGGATGAACCTGATTTTATCTAGCGGATCGTAACTCAGGAGGAAACATTTATCCATCACTTCGATCTAGAATAACAAAACAGAGCATGCAATGGAAGCACCCTCGCTCATGATTGACTATCTTGATCAAGGTCGTACCATAAACGGTACGTACTATGTACAGACGAATTGAGACGTCTGCGTCAAAGAATCGTGCGTAAAAGGAGGGGCAAATCGACTCAAGACGTTCTGCTCCTGCACGACAATGCGCCAGCTCAGACATCCTAAGTTGCGATGGCTGCTGCAACTGATTGCTGCTTTGAAATTCTTCCTCCATCACTCATATTCTCCGGACTTGGCCTCCTCTGTTAACGAACCTGAAGACGTTTGGAAGCCAGGAAGGTGTCATGGAGGCGGTCAATGAGTTATTTGAGGACCAAAATAGAGAGTTCTAATTTGAAGGATAAAACAAGTCGGAGCACAGGTGGGCAAAGTGCATTGATGTAGAGGGCGATTATATTTAAAAGTAAGACCATTACTTGGGTTCTCTGACTACTGAAAGTACATTTGGCCAAGAGTGTTATTATCAATCCTAGTGCATACAAGGAAAATAAATGACACCCCTGAGACAGCGACAATTTTGACCCAGTGCTTTTATTCAACATCCTTGGTAGACACCCACTAGAAGATGTTTCATACAAAATATCTAAGCTCTAGCTCTTCGGTCTTTTATTGTAAGATTTTTGTTTGTTTTTATTATATACAAATAAGGAAAGTCAATGCCCCCGAGGCAGGGTCAATTTTAACCGCAGGGCTTTTGTTTGAATATATTTGGTAGACTCCTACAAAAAGATATTTAGGACAAAATATCTTAGCTCTAGCTCTTTCTGTTTATTACAAGAAGATTTTTTTTAACTTTATACATATAAGAAAATCAATGACACCCTGGGATGGGAACAATTTTGACCCTAGAGCTTTTAGTTGAACAAACTTGGTAGACACCAACTATAAGATGTTTCATGCTACATCTCTAAGATTTAGCTCTTTCGGTTTTTACAAGATGTGTTTGTATTTTACAATATACATATAAGGAAAATCAATGACCCCCTGGAGCGAGGCCAATTTTGACCCAGAGACACTTTTTGGTAGACCCATTAGGAACGGTTTCTTGCTAAATGTCTTAGCTCTACCTCTTTCAAATATTATAGAAGAAGATTTTAATACATAAAAGGAAATTCATGATCAAATTGGGCGGGCCAATTTTAACCCCAGGTCTTTTATTTTATTTGACCAATCTTTGTAGACACCCACAAGAAAATGATTCATGCAAAATATCTAAGCTCTAGCTTATCTGGGAGGGTTTTTAAAGATTTTTTAAAGATTATTCTTTCGGATGCCATGCAACCAGAGTTCTGCACGCATTTCAATTTTTTGAACAATTTTCAAAGGCGACCAACCAAGGAACCTTCCTGTGAAGTTTGGATTTAATTGACTTAGTGGTTTAGGAGAAGAAATCGTTTAAAGTAAACATTTACAGACGGACAACGGACGGACGAAATGCAATCACAAAAGCTCATCTTGTCATTTTTTGACATGTGAGCTCAAAATAAACTAAAACACTAAAATAAACAGTTTGCCTGGACCTGGATTCGAACCCAATCCTTTCACATCCTACGCGAACATGCTACCCCTGTACCACAGGCTTTCAAAAACGTTTTTTTTTAAATCAGAAGAAAACCAAACTATACTTAAGTTTGATTTTATACTACAGTTTGCAATGATTAACAATATTTTCGTTAATACTATTTTTTATTGATAAGCTTGAATGATCACAGCCATTTCCATCACTTACTTGTTTAAGGACAAATTGGTTCTAGTTGACCAAATATACAGGAGGCAGAATACGTTTTCGAATTTGCCAATTTATAGAAAGGAGTCAGATTTGAAAGTGAATTGAGCTTCTAAATATCTTTTTTGCAATGTTTAAAGTTTCAGTTGCTAGCATTATGCTTAAGTTTATGTATAAGAATGATTTAGTAGCATACATACATACATTTCAAGAAAGTTCCTTTCAGATTCAAATTGAATATATGATTTATATAGCTTAGTCTGAAATAAGCCGTCCAATTTAATTCAATTTAAGCTTTCTATGAAAATTTCTTATATCATAATATTTATGAAAGAAATACATAACATAATACATTTACCGGCCAAAATGTTTCAATTAGATCTAAATGATAGAAATAGAAATAAGTAATATGTTTTAGCTATGAAAGCAAATATAAACTATGCAGCGTTTAATTGAAATTTAGAAGGTGGGCATATTGTCATATACATGTTTATATTAAAATTTAAATGCACTTATTTCAATTAAGTAATAACATACATATATGTGGGTTTTTTGTGTGTGGCCCGGGCTGTTGTTTTTCTAGAAGTATTGAAAACTGTATACTGTCGCCCGCAGCATTTAGAAAGGAAATATCGTGCCAAAGTTTACATCTTTTCTTAACCATCATTATTTGCTCTGAATGTAAGTTTCGCCACAATATTGTTTTCCACAAAGGAGAAATGAACTTTGCATTAGATATCATAGTCTTGCTGAAGGCTTGAAACCACATTATTCAAAGCTATATTAAGTTTCATATCATTGTATAATTGAATTGGCACTGTTCAGAAAATAGTATATCTAGTAATGGAATTTTCAAAAGATACAAAGTGAAATTAAGGCATCTGATACATAATATCATCCATGCATAGTAATATATGTATCAATAATATCGCTTGACCCGTATATGATTAATGATGTTTTAAAATATATACTAACTGTATTTCAAGATTATTCTCATTTCATTTTCCCCCTACAAAAGAGGGAAATTACCCTTGATCACTCACTTAAGATCCACTGCTGGAAAAGGGCCATAATCCTTAACACAGAAGTAAGATAAGATCATATAGGAGTATCAATATTTTTCACTACATACAGTCCTGATTTATGAACTATTTGTCATGGTCTGCTTCGTAAGAAATATACCTTATATCTAGGCTCTCGGAACTATTTCACACAAAAAGATTCATATAACTCGTAAGTACATATAAACTAAGTAGTTTGGACCATATGCCAATAATTCATAATCT